TTTTCTTATCCAATATTCCTAAGAATTTTCTGGTCATTAATATTCTAGGGTGAGTATTTGAAGGTGCTGATAGCATGGCAGCATGCAGCTCACACAGAAGTTTTCACACAGTAATTTTTTAGAGTGCTTCAGAACTACCTTGTCTTAAAATTGGGCCCCAAAAGATGTTCTTGGTTACCATGGATATGAATGTACAGTCAAGATCCAAGAAGAGTTCTGCTGATGCCAAAGCCAGTTTTAAGGATCCGAAGGAGAGGTCTTGAAGAAAAGCTTAGCATCTGCAACACAGTCAGTTGCATGCTTTTCAATAGTCAGAAAGATGCAGCTCTGTTGTGAGCCTGAAGGTGATGGGGAAATCAATTAAGTACAGTTTGAAGTATAAATTGTACTAAATAGTGGATAGTGTACCTTGAAGACTTAATTTGTCCTTGTTTCCTTATCAGACATAAATAAATTTCTAGGGATGTGCAGATTTACAGTTCTGGAAATAATAGGTCAAACTAAGAATCTAGAGCTGCCTCAAGCTATTAATCTCTATAACATTTTTTCAGCGTAACGTCGCTTGCAGTAGCATTGCAGGTATTGTCCTACTTGCCCTTTGAAGTTATCAGCATCTTTATTCTATATCAACTTCTGCACCAGCTGTGTCGATTTTCTGTAGACAAGTAGCCGCTTCTGTGCAAGTTTTCCAGAACTGCTTACAGATCCTGTGAACTCTCTGCCACAAATGGAGTAGTAAGTTTTTTCTCATATAGTATTAGAACTGGGGGACTCAAGAAATAAATTTTGAGGAGACAGCGTTATGACCATTACTCCCCAACAAGAAGAGCCTACCTATTCCTCTTGCTCTTTGAAAGGATGAAGCCTCACATGAATACATCGCCAAGTAGGACAAACTGCAGCTTGTCCATGAGATGACACTGCTGATGCAATGTGTAGTAGGTGATCAGCAGGCATTCTGGCAATGAAAACATCCTTAGGGAAAACTTTATGAAGAAAGTTCAAAACTTTTCATCAGATAAATGAGGTTCCTGTGATGTAGATTCTCCTTGTTTTTGTTAACTTTCAAAAACAATAACTCTTCATCTGTCTTTTTCCAGTGACTTTGATCTCTATCGTTTCTGAGTGTGGTTTATGCAGCTTGTCTCAAGTGTTTCAAGGCATAAATTCTTAATTTGCATTAATCTGTAAAAGTTTTTCTCCATTGTTATAATATCCTCAAACTTATTTATTTAATTTCTATATTTATTTACATCTAATATCTTCGGTTTTGTTCATTACTAGCTGTGTTCCTTAACCTAGAGTTGGCCGTGGTTCCCTTTATTCTTTGGTTTCTGTGCTTTTATGCAAGATCCTGTGTGTCTTGCAGCGTGGTGGGATTTTTTGTTTGCTTTTGCGAGGGGAGTTAGGCTAACTGTTTATATCTGTTTTAGGACTCTAGCAACAGGTATTCCTGAGTATGGCTTTTTAATAAACCCCAATAAGACAGTCGTGAATTTTCCTGTTGATGATATCCCAGGATGTTCCAAATTTAAACAGCTGCCAGATTGTCGCTTGATCCCGTGGTGTGGTTTATTATTAGATATACAGACACTTGAGGTTTACTGCGATTACTCCAGGTAAATACAGTTGTATGCTCCAGTGTCGCCTTTACAGTATATTGTATGTAGTGTGAGAAGCACGAGGGTGTCTTGTGAATGGTGTAGTTGAATTAACTGCAAAATAGATTCTACAATGCTGTTTCTTAACCAGTAATCTAAACATTTTCTTCTGCTGTGCAGCCTGCTATTTTCTTCATTTCATGCTGGTGGAATGTACATACCATTAACACCGTCAGATGTGGCACAGGTCACTAGTGACCAGAAGTCATATACTGTATGGTGGCTACATGGTTCTGAGAACGTTTCATCATTACACACTGTATTGTACCTGTTATCATATAAGTACACTTATTGTTCAGAAATTGTTTGGTGTTTTTTTTTTT